AGCAACCTCCAACTCCTGGGCTCAAGCAATTTTCCTGCCTCCGCCTCCCAAGTAGCTGGGACTACAGGCACCTACCATGATGCCTGGCTATATTTTGGTTGCAGCTGTCATTGTTAGGCAGGCCCAGGCTGGATTCGAACCTGGCAGCTCAGGTGTACGTGTCTGGCGCCTTAGCCACTTGAGCCACAGGCACTGAGCTTAGTTTTTCTATTTTTAATAGAGACAGGGTCTCGGTGTCTTACTGGTCTTGATCTCCTGAGCTCAAGGGATTCTCTCCTCTCAGCCTCCTAGAGTCCTAGGATTACAAGTGTGAACCACCGTGCCCAGCCTCTTTTAACAACTTGTAAACAGCTATGATCAGATCACTGCTCTGCTCAAAACCCTCCAGTAGTTTCCAGTTCACTTAGTGAAAGCCAGGTCATGATGAGGACTCCAAGGCCACTGTCCCTTTTCTCCCTTTATCCCTGCTGCCCTCCCTTTGCTCCACACTGGCCTCCGTAGTCCCATTCTAACTTGTCCAGCAGGCTCCTGAGCTGGGGTCTTTGCACTTGCTGTTCCCTCTACCTGGAATGCACTTCCTGTAGATATCCACCTGACTGGCTCCGTTTCCTTCAGGTTTCTGCTCAAATGTCACCTGACCCTCCTATATGTAATAGCCACTTCCCTCCCCCATCTCCTGACACTCCCTAGCCTTTTCCCCTGTTTTATTTTTCCGTAATATTTTCCACCGTCTGAATTATTATAACTTGCTGCTTTCTTTGTTCTTTGTCTCCCTTTACTAGAGATATGATAGCAAGGGCTTTGTTTGCTTTTTTGTGTTTCTCTCTCTCTCTCTTTTTACATTTTTTGAACCACAGATGAACAAGGGTTTTGTTTTCTTCCACACTACTTGATCCCCAGCACCTAGAATAGTGCCTGGCATGTGGTAGATGCTCAGATCTTCATTGAATGAATGAATGAATGACTCAACTGCCCATAATCTCAAGGAGAACAGATTCCCCAGCAGGGACCCCAGAGCACATGGAGAGGGTTGTCAATGTTGAGCTGCACTGTAGAGTCCAAAGTCCAAAATTCTACACCTAGAAGGCAGCTGAGAAATCACATCTCTGCCTATCCATCTGAAGAAGGTCAAGAAAGGGGGCCTTCAGGGGGAATGGAAGGAAAGTCTGGCAGCCAAAATAAGGAGCTGTAAAAGGGGCCCTTACAAAGGGTTTTAGGGTATGGGAACATACCCTCGGTCTCCACAAAAAAAAAAAAGTGACAAAGTATTAACATTTTGACTATACATATTTGTTGACAACCTGAAGATCCCTTCCCCAA